AGCCAAAAGTTAGCAAAAATAAAGATGTAGGACCTGGGTATCAAACCCATATCCTTCGATCTTATGCGTGTTTATCTGTTTAGGCTGGATCTTCAGTACAAGCGTTAGAGAAAAAATAAATTCAGACCTGGGTGTCGAACCCAGGTCCTTAGTTTTGAATACAAATGAACAAACTATAAGTGTTAATGTGTCATGCAAATGTAAAGTTTGATCTTTTGTCAATTCTTACCAACGGTGATGTATGGATTTGTGGCTTCAGGCGTGGGTATGCTTGTTTAAGGGTTGTTTCGATTTTGACAACCTTTGGAGATTTTGAGAAGTTTGGTGGTTTTCTTCAGGCAATGTGTGTATGTAGTATTTTTGAGGCAACTTGTGTGTGTTTCTTATCTCTTTTTTTCGTCTGTGGCAATGTATCCTTAGGCCTATAGTTATAGAGGTGTAGAGGGGAATGGAAATGGAAAGGGAGAGCCATCAACCATGCTTTGAAGGCAAAATCAGACAAATTAACGTATTGCCATTTTTGATGGATTCCTATCCTTTTGGGTTTTGGGATGAACCTGGACATCGCTGACTCCTTCGAGTGCCTCCACACCTGGTTCTTCGATTGGCCCTGAGTTGCTTCCTTCGAATGGCTCCAGGCCTCATCATTATGGCCTCTTCAATTGAACCACTATCTGCCTTAGTAGCTTGATCTAAAGCTTTTCAACTAGTCCAATCGAAAACTTCTTTCTGGCCAGTCGAAGCTTCATTTGTTACCTCCTTCAAATGTAATTATGCAGGAGTCTTGGGCTTGGTAGCATGTTAGATTTTGGCCAGCAAGCATCTTGGACCAAGACTCATCATAAAACAAACTGGTTTCCCACAATTATGTGTCCTTCGAATGGACCAATTGTAGGTCCTTCGAAGGCACCATTTGTGTGTCCTTCGAATAGCCCACATGTATGTTCTTCGAAGGCACCATTTGTGTGTCCTTCGAATGGACCAAATGTATGTCCTTCGAAGGCACCACTTGTATGTTTGTTCAAAGGGACCTATGGAATGTCTATTCGAATAGACCTTCTTGTGTGTCGAAGTGTGGAAACCTGTGTGTTGAAGGATTTAGAGGTGGAGTCAAAGCTAGCATGAGGAAAGCCAACTACTTAATGAATCGAAGCACGCATGTAGGAAGTATTTGTTTAGTGAATCGAATGCAAGTTGAAGGGGGCTTTGCCTTGTGAATCCAAGGCAAGCATGGAGAAGTCTTTGCCTTGTGAATCTAAGGTAAGCACGGAGAAGCCTTTGCCTAGTGGATCAAAGGCAAGCTTGGGGAAGCCTTTGCCTTGTGAATCAAAGGCAAGCCTGAAGAAGCCTTTGCCTTGTGAATCCAAGGCAAGCATGAAGAAGCCCTTGCCTTGTGAATCCAAGGCAAGCATGAAGAAGGCTTTGCCTAGTGGATCGAAGGCAAGTCTGAGGAAGCCTCTGCCTTGTGGATCAAAGGTAAGTTGAAGGGGCCTTTGCCTTGTGGATCGAAGGCAAGTCTAAAGAAGCCTTTTGCTCAGTCGAAGCTTTGTGAATTAAACTTGGTCGAAGGAGGCCAAATGCTCAATCGAAGCTTGTGAACCAAGCTTGCATCGAAGGAGGCCAAATGCCCAATCGAAGACTTTGAAACCAAAGCTCTCTCGAAGGATTTCAGATGCCCAATCAAAGACTTGGAAACAAAAGTTCGCTCGAAGGATTTCAGATGACCAATTAAAGCTTATGAATAAAGGCTAACTTGCTCCTCTTTGATTTGATACCTGAAAGCCAAAAATCCAATTCTACTTGTGCAAACCTGCCCTTTTGAAAATCCTTGTGAGAAAATGTCTTGATAAAAAGGGAGGGAAAATTTTGGGGTACAACACTGAGTAACTAGAGTTTGTATGGAAAGATAAAAATGAACGATAAAAAACCCTAAATTCAAAGATAAACAACTGAATACAACACAATTGCACACTCGCACCTCTAGGGTAACCTCTCTTGTTTCCTTCGGAAAAAAACAGTCATGTCCCTCGAAAGTAGAGACGCTTTAGCAAAAGGCCCTCGATACAAAAGATCATAGTCCCTCGATGACCCTTCAATGTTGCCTTTCGAAAAATGATCTAATCCCTTACAAAATTGCTAAAGCGTCCTTACAAGTTGCCTTCAATGACTAAACGATGACCCTTCGTTGTCCCTTCACATCCAACAGATGAGGCTATCTACCAACTAATGGTATGGATAACACTATCTCTAAAGGAGAAGGAAAAGTACGAGAATGACCTTGAGTGGGTAGGATATTGTTAATCACTTGCTCACAAGTTTTCCTAAACAAAACATTTCTCACATCACACTTTCAAAAAACAAATATTTTCAAATACTTTGTACGCGTTCTTGAGGACTGATACAAGAACCATTACAAAGTTCTCCTTACATTGGCGTTTTCAAAAATATTTTCAAAAGCACACGCACACAAAAAAGCAAATTTTCAAAGTGAGCTAAGAGATTAAGAGCCCGTAGATAACTACGGATGAAAAGAGTGCTAACACCTTCCCTTTTTATAACCTACCCCCCGAACTCAAAATCTTCAAGGTCTTTCCTGTTCTGTTCACCCTTTTCTTATTGGATAAAAGAAAAGTCGGTGAGGACTCTTGCTATCTGCAATATTTATGATAAAACGCAAAACAAGTCAGTTCTCCCACCGTATTACACATAAGATCGTTGCAACCCCTCTGAATACGATTAACAGAATCATTCAAGGAAGAAATCCAGTCAGAAACTTCTTTAAGAATTGTCTTCTTCCGCCTTTTATTCTTCAAAGACTTAGTCCCTCCTACCTCATAAATACACCTTAACTTTGTCACCCTCTTAGTAATCAGAGGTCTTTTGGCGTTAACTTTCTTAGATTGTTTTTTAAGGAAAGTGTCAACAGAATCATAATCAACTTATTAGAAACTCCAGGGAATACAACAGAAGGTTGAAAGGTCCCACCCTCAACCTTAGCATAAACTCCCTTCTCCCTAACCTCCACAGGTGCTTCATCGAAACAACCTTCCTCATTCCTCTTACCCTCCTTACAGTGCTTGGAAGAATCCTCTGTGCCCCTATTTTCCTGAGATTTTGGATTAGAATAAAAGTCCCCTTTACTGTTATGCCCCTGGCCTAAATTGTTGCAAGACCCTGAGATTACAGAATCCAGATCACAATCAGCATCATCGTAATTATCCTCTCCCTGATTACTCCAACCATATACTCAGATTCAGATGAGTCACCGGAGGACACCAAACTCCCCCTTCTCTTCACCATATTGGTTCTCAAAGGACCATATAAATCTTCCACCAATCTAATTGTGAACACAGACTCATCAATCTTTACCTTCGAGAACTCGTTTAGATCAGTATCACACGATGTTCTCACCAAAATCCTTGCAATGTCCATATTAAGCGAATTCAACACACTCTCGTCGCAACAAACATATTTACCTACCTTGTTTGCAAACATTTCGAAGAAAGAAACGTTTCATGTGTGGCAAGGTATTCTATAGACCCTCAACCAAGCAACTTTATCTTTATCGACATCTTCCTCTCTCCACCTTCTAATAGTTGAAAACCATTGTGACCACCAATTCTCTCCCTCCTTGATTAAATCGTTAGTAGCGCCTTCTTCGACTTCCTCTAACAAACACAAACTCGCCCTTAGAGACGTCACTTTAATGGAAAAAAAGCCTTCAATCTCAAAGCTATTTTAAACATTGTAAGACATACTTGATTCCAAAACCACCTCCACAAATGCCTTTCTCAATCTATTCAAATCCTCAAAACTCGAAGAAAAATTGAAACTGCAGGGCAACTCGACCCCTAGCCACCTGAACCATAACAACTCTTGTTGGCTACCATATCCGCAAAAGACCTGTTACCCTCCATGTATTCCGACCGGTAAAATCTGGCCCCATTCACCCCAACAGATGTCTTCTCAGGAATCCTAAAATTTCACCTTTTGACTTTCTCTCTCCTTAATCCACCAGACTTCCGATCAAACCTGGGAGGATTAGCGTGAATCTTCCTCTCATCTATCATCACATTGTCAAGTTTAACAACAAACACCCTCTCGTCTCCCACCTTTTGGAATCTAGCGAACCCAAACTTTTTCCCAAACTTGTTATTCCTAGGTGGAATAACCACCTTAACCACTTCGCCTATACACCCAAAGAGCTCGAACATGTCTACCGCCTTGATGCGATCAAGAATTTCAAAAAAAAAAAAGAAATAAAAAATATTTTTCCTCTTTACCTACCATCTCCCTACTCCCTATTCCCTATCGTGAAAATATCCCACTTGACCTGAATATCCCTAAATCCTCTCTTCTTAGCTCTATGCCACTCGATGAAACCACTGAGTATCACAAGAAACAAAAACCCAATTTTAAAGAGAAGACAATCTCTCTCAAAACATGATTTGCATGTGATTTGTTCTTCTATTTATTATTATGTAATGAGTATAATCTAATTTTAATTTTTATAATTTCTTTATAAAAAAATTAAAGATTTTTTTCACTTTCGATTCTTGGGACATCACTTTATCCAAAAAAAAAAAATGATGTGACAAACTAACTTGACAAACAACAGGTTCAATTGTCATGTTTTTAATGATGCGTTGCTTTTTATACCTCATTCATATTTGCTTTTATAATAATTTTAAAACATAAATAAATTAAACATAAACCCATAAACTTAATTTCAAACTAACACAAATCACTAATTTTTTATCGATAGATAAAAATATAATGATTAGAAATTCACCATTGTTAAAATTAAAATTCAAAGATTAATATTAACTCTTTTTAATTCATATCTTGATGCAACTTTAAAAAATAATATAACTTCCATGCAATCAAAACCTTGATTTAAAGTACTAAAAATATATAATAATATCATCATTATTACTACATACATAGATAAATAATAATACATAAGAAGAAAAAAGAAAAATTAATATGAAAAACAGAAACTAGTTATATTTCTGTACCCTGTTTTCAGTCAAATCAAACCATATTTGCTTGAACACCTTGATAATAAGCTGATGATACTCATCTGAATTCAGAGAAAGATAACAAGCAAGAAGATCTTCCAAATCCTTTGATTCTCTTATGTTATTCTCCACAATCATCTCCACCATTGACTCTCTGAAATCCTTCTGAGGATTAAAAGATGACTTCACTATTGCAACACTACCGGAGAAGCTTCTTCTCCGGTGGTAGCCGGAGGTTGTTGTCGTTGTTGTCGACGATGCACTTTTCCGGTTGTGATATATCTGAAGTTTTTTAGTGGCGATTTTCGGAGATTTTATACGAAGCTTCATTCCAGGAGAATTTACCGAACCAATCTTGTTCCTGTTCTTGTTCATGTTCTTCGGTTGTTGTTGTTGTTGTTGTTCGGGTTTGTGTTCTTTTTTGATTTTTGGTTTTGTGATGATAGGAGGAAGTTGTAGTTTATATGAATTGTAGTCTTCAAGTTTATCATCTTTTCTAGGTAGGGAATTTTTGTCGACATCGATAACAATATCTATGTTGTTGTTGATATTGTTGTTGTTGCAAGGACAAGAAGAAATGGAGAAAGAAACCATTTCATCGAATGATGTTTCATTGGGAAGCAGAACTCTATCTGTTCTGAACTCTGTGTCAACGGATTCCGACTCATATAAGCTGTTTAGCGGAGAGGAAGAAAGTGTTTCTGATTTCGTCCAGACCGATTCGAGTGTGGTTCGGCAGCTACAATCAGCGGAGACAGAGGAGGTGACACGTTTTGGTGAAGAACATGTTTTTGATTTTGATGTTGTTGATGTTGTTGTTGTTGTTTTTCTTGTTCTGTTTTTGGATGGTGAAGAAGAGGATAATTTGATGTTGTTGTTTTGGTTAAGGTTTCTTGTGAAGTAGTAAGATTTTCTAGGAATGTATTGGTTTTGGTTGGGTTGATTTGGCTTTGAGGATATTGAGGTTGTTTTTGAGGGTAAGGAAGATGAATGTTTTCTGTTCTTTGAGGTCGTTGTTGATGTTTGGTTTTTTGGTTTGCCTATTTCCTTTAGCTTGTAAAACCAAGCATTGGGAATCATGTCTGAAAGCTTGAACTTGTTATTCCTCATTCTCAAAACACACACACTCTTGTGTTTGTATTTGGTTTTGTGAAAGTGTGTGAGTTTGTTTTGCTTATGTTTGTGGGAGTTGATGAAAGCTTTTTCTAGTTGTTGTAGTTCTCTATGCAATTTGTGGGGAATGAGAGTGAAAGTGTGAGACATTAGATAAATCCATCTGTGACTACTGTTTGCATATATTTTTCTTGACTATTTTTTTTTCTTCACTTTTTCTTTAGAAGCAAAGTTAGTATTTGTTTGGCTACAATGTCAAATAGTGATATTTTAATATTTACTAATCATTTATTTGTCATTTATTATTATAATCAAATAATTAAATTAAATGAATGTAAAGTGATGAATTAAATAAATGTAAATTATTGGATTAAATATTATTTACGGTATTATTTATTTGTATTTATATTAATTTATTTTTTAACTTTAATTTTAGTGATTTTCATTTAATTATTAATAATATATTTTTTATTTAAATGGTTTATTAATTTAAATAAATCCTTAATATTTATAAATCAATAATTTTTATAAAAATATTTAAAAATGTATTTATTTGATTATTTTATAAAGTTGATAATTTTTAAAAATCAACAATATACAAAAATATAAATATAAATAAATCTTGTCATAAGCGATTGAATTATAAAAAACAATTTACTTTCATTTATCTCAAGTAAATATTAATTGAGCAACCACCCTCATTCATTTTATTTTATTTTATAATCTTAAGTAATATAATTAGAATTTTAATTAAAATAATATAAATAATGACATTAGTAATTATTTTACTATTTTTTATTGTTTACTTTTTTTTTAAAGATTGAACAAACTAAAGTATAACAAAAGTCACACTCCTTGGACTGCCTAGTATATATGTGTGTTCTTAAAACATCATTTAATGGAATAAATTGAAAGAGAAACAAACAATGAAACATTTAGAATTAGTAATACAAAATAGGGTCCACAATATAAGAAAAAAGATGACAAAAAGTTAAAGAAAAAATGCAGGGTCAAGGGGGTGGTGGTGGATAACAATTGGAAGATATTGACACTAATAATCAACACCTAACCCAAATAAATAAATAAATAAATAAACACCTAACCCAAATAGTGCTACATGTTATAACATCATCAATAATTAAATCTTAGATACTGTTTGGGTTTTGTTCTTTTTAAATAACCTACACGTAGGGTTACATCTATGCAGAAATTTTATGCCTTCTGGGATTTAAGACACTGCTTGTTTCTCCACGTGGGTTACATGCTGATATATATAATAATGTTTTGTAGTGAAATATAACTAGTAGTTCATATTCAATGTGACTATAGTCTATATATGAAGATATTTTATTTCTAGTGTAAATGCATCAAACGTGGAAGCAGCTTAAAAGAATTTGTTGCAAAAATACTAACTAGACAATCTGATCAAGAACATGTGGTCTAGGTTTTTCAAAGAATTTGTAATCTTAAAACATATAATTTTAAATATAAAAAATAAAATTAATATTTTTAAAATATAATATTAATATTAAAATTAAAATATTAAAATTATCATAAATAAAACAGGAATTTGATATTATTTTTCATTAAATTAAATACTTAAAAATAAAAATAATTTTGAAACTATAAATATTAATTTTTTTAATTATTTTAATAGAGTTATGTTAATTTACTAATAATAAAATTAATTTATAAAAAAAGCAAGTAATTATTTCACAAGGATAATTTTATACTGACTAAATTATAATTTTTTTGTCCCCCTATTTTATCTTGTATATTAAAATAATAATTTATTTCAAATTCAAATAATTTTGATTTTTCCTCACATTTGTACATTTAAAATTGATGATATCCCATATTTTTAATTATATTTAATAAAAAATATTTGAATAAATTAAAAAAAGAGTGAACACTCGTTTTGATAAAAAATTATACCATTCAAATTAGTCTCTCACAAAAAAAGAGGATTCAAAACCTTTAAATTATATCTTATGACTTTATCACTATGTCAATGTATATTTGTGACATATGACTCTCGTTATTTATATTAATATTAAAAAATTATGATTTTAAAACAAAAAAAATACAAAATTTATATATATGAAATCAGAAACCCAACTCCCTTCAAATTAAATGGTAGTCACTTCACATCTAGACTAATTCTTATTAATATTTCTAATAATTAATACTTAACTTAATAATTATAAATAAATATTTACTTATTTCAAATAACACATATACATATTTATTTAATTCAAACCATACACAAATTTAAAAATAAAATTAATAAAATGTAAATCCACAATATAATTAATTGAATACAATTAAATTAAATAATATTTAATTTAATTAAATAACACACAAAAAATATATTCTTATTTTAAATTAATTCAAATAAAATAATAATTAATTTACTAATAATTCAATTAATTGTCAAAATATTTAATTAATTTAAACTAAATAATAAATTAATTTTTAAAATTATTTAATTAATTCAAACTAAATAGTAATTAATTAATTTAATAGTAATTTAATTAAATATTAATTTATTTATTTCTATTTGATTAATTATATTTACCCCTAACATTTTTACCCCTGTTGAAATACTCGAACCTAGGGCATTTCTCATGTAAAAAGCTCTATTTACCACCAAACTACACGAAGTTAATTATACATAGTTAGAAAGGAAAATATATAACATAATACTCGTCTGTAATATATTTTCAAAATGCATAATATTTATTTAATATATAATATTTGTATAAGTTATAATATGAGTTAATAAATTTAATAAATTTTAAGATTTAAATTCTACAAGATTGAATTCTTCAAATAATACTTATCTAATATATAACATTATATAATTAATTAATATTTATTTAATTTATAAATTATTTTGTTTATAATAAATTAATAATGTCTAATATACTATTTAACGCGAATAAATTTTTTACTAATTATTTATTATTTATTAAACTAATAAGACATTTGAAAATGTTTAAAAAAAATATTAATTATGAAATAAATAAGTATTTTATTTAATTTTTCAATCATATCTTAAATAATTATTAAACAGTTTATTAATAATTGAAATATTTACTTTTTATTTAACATTTAATAAAAGTTTTCTTTATTATTTTTGTGATTTTTATTAATTATCATCTATTAAATAAAGATTATGCATTAAATAGTTTATAATTATAGTTTAGAATTATAGTTTATATAAATATTATTTATTAAATAGTTTACAATTATAATTTATACAAATATCATGTATTAAATAGTTTATAATTATAATGTAATAAATATTATATATTTATAATAAATATTATATATACTAATTGTTAGTTGATATAATGGTGATTGATGCTAGATTTAATAGGAAAGACTATGTTCGATTCCCCGCAACTTATAAACTATTTAATAAATAATATTTATAATATTTCATATTATTAACTATTATCTATATGTATTTGTAATAAAAGTTTATATAAATATTATTTATTAAATAGTTTAGAATTATAATGTAATAAATATTATGTATTAAAAGTTTATATAAATATTATGTATTAAATAAATATAATGCATTTTGAAAATATATTGCAGACGAGTATTATGTTATATGTTTTTGTTTCTAACTATTTATAACTAACTTCGTATGGTTTGGTGGTAAGTGGAGTTTGTTATATGGGTAAAGTTTAAATTTTTTTTTTAAAATTCGTCTATATAATAGGGGATAAAATGACTATTAACTATTTTATTAATTATATTTTAATTATGTATTATTTGAAATTAGTAAATATTTATTTGTATGTTATTTGAAATAAATAAATGTTTGTTCTAAATTATTAAGTGAAATATTCATCATTAGAAATATTAACAATAGAGATTGATTTATATAGTTGAAAAATGATAATCATTTAACTTAAACAGACTTAAATTTTGTATTTTTATTTTAAACTCAGAATTATTTAATGTTATTAGAAATCATAAAAATTATTCGCATGAATGTACATTGGCACAGTGGTAAAGACATAAGATGTGGTTTAAAGTTCTTGGTTTCGGTTTCTTATATGTAACAATTTTGACATTTTTTTATATTATTAATTCAAAATTGTTTAAAAAATAAATTTAATATTTAAAAAATAAAAAATAAAAAATAAAATCTAATTTGGCAGTCCAATCACAGTTTAAAAGTAAGAAAAAAATTGATTTAAGAAAGATATTAACAGAAAAACTAATACGATCCAGTTAAATTTTGTAAAGGATTAAATCAGGTCTTTTTCTGTGAGGGACTAATTTGAGTTGTGTAACTTTTGTGAGGGACTAAAATAAGTCTTCACTCTAAAAAAAATTAAAACTACAATTAAGCTTTTTTATAATATAAATATATTATATATTAAAGTTATAAAACGGAAAAAAAAATAGTAATATTAAATGTCTTATTATGTATTGTATTTGTTAAAGTACTTTAGTAACAATAAGTGAGGGCCAGTAAATTAGCTCTCGGATGCTCAATGGATTATGCATATCTTTTTTCTTTATGATGATCTCTTTATACAAGATCATTTAAGATTTATATGAGACCATTTAAGGTGATTGTCCATGATTAGTGTGATCTCTTAATGGTAATTCATAACCAGAATTAATTGTAAGATCATATTAGTCATTAATGTGTTATCCCAAGTATTTTAATCCAAAAACCGCCTACGTGTTAGTTTTGAGTGATATGATTAACATGACCTATCATCATCAGTCCGACCTTGTTTTGCTTGACGAGCTACGATTCAGAGCAACTCTATTAGATTCAAGCTACAATCTCACCCAATAGATCAGGCATGTACACAATCAACTAAGCATGAGTCGCATAGGGTAAAATGTTGTCTCGATACCTACTTAGAGATTAGACATGTACGCAACCCCTCTAGCATGAATCACGTTGGGGTAATGCTTTCACAAGACCTATTGAGAGACTAGACATCTATAAAACCCCTCAA